AAGAAAGAAAGAAAGAAAGAAAGAAAGAAAGAAAGAAAGAAAGAAAGAAAGAAAGAAAGAAACAAACAAACAAACAAACAAGCAGCAGTAGCTGCAATGAGCTACAATGGTGTCACATGCCTGTAATTGCAGCCTTCAGCAAGGTGAGGTTGGAAGATAGGAAGATCATGAGGTTATCCTGGATTACACAGCAAGGCCCTGCCAGAAGAAGGAGGAAGAGAGTAGAGAGGAAGAGAAGTGATTTAATAGAGACTGACCCTGGCATCACATGCATGTTAGATTTACCAGCAAAATACTTCAAAGCAACTATTAAAGGACTCAAGGATCTGGAGTAAAGGCTCAGCATTTAAGATCACCTGTTGCTTTTCCAGAGTAATCGGGTTTGGTTCCTAGCATGTACATGGCAGAACACACTGTAACTCCAGCTCCAGAAGGTCTGACACCCTCTTCTCACTTTTGTGAGTACCAGGTATGTATGCAGTGCACATACACATTCAAGTAAAACATTCATATTCACAAAAACAATTAGGCTCTGTGGTCAAGAGCATTAGTTTCTCTTTCAGAGAGCCTGAGTTGATTCCCAGCACCAACATGGCAGTTCATATGTAACTGCAGCTCTGGGGATCTAAGGTCCTCCTCTGGCCTCTGCTATAACCTGCACACACATGACAAATATTTACACACACACATACACACACATGGGGGGGGTAAGAGAAATAAAGTCTTATAAGAAAAAGAAATGTTAAATGACTTTGTTCAGCAGAGTGCAGTGGTAACATGGAAACCAGATGTGTAGAAAAGAGTGAAAAGTCTCAAAAATAATGACTATGTGGCTGTATACAACTGTCATTTTCCCTCTTTAGTCTCCTTAAAGGATATTAGCTGGTAAAACATATACAATGATGGTGTTAGTGGGGTCAAATCTAAGCAGAGGTAAAGGTGGGGAGAAATAAGAAGTTGGATTACAATATTGTTATTTTCTTGTATTTGCCTAAGCAAATAAACATTATTTGGAACAGCCAAACACTGGAACTAAGCTCCCTGTGTAAATGGACCTACAAATTGTGTCATGTTTATAATGGAATACTGTATAATATATCAAAGTACTGATAAGCAAAAACACATATGAATGTCAAATGTAGGCTTAGTAAAAGAAAATAGATTGTTCAAGTAGCAGCTGTATAGTTCTATTTATAGAAAGTTCTAGAAGAGACAATTGATAGTGATAGAAATCAGTTCAGAAAGCACCGTCTGCGTGGTGGTGGAATGGGGATCACTGTGGAGGAGCATGAGGGAACTTTTAGGACTGATAAAATCTAAATAGCATTAAAATGGTGGTGTCCATATTACCAGAACTAGACTGTACATTTAAACATGTATATTTTGTTTTGTGTAAATCACTTTTCTTTCTCTTTAATGTTTTTAGGTTAGGACACGAAGTATTGGGTTTCATTATCGTATGATACTGTGTGTCTCTTTGTTCTCAGCTCCCCTCCCACCACTTCCCTCCTCATTCTTCCTGCCTCTCTCTGGTCAATTCTCAAAGTCGTGTGCATTTTTATTTATTTGCGTGTGTGTGTGTCTGTGTGTGCTGTGTGTGTGTGTGTGTGTGTGTGTCTGTGTGTGCCTCACAGCAGCTACGTATGGATCCAAGAACAACTTTCAGGAATGAGACCTCTCTTTCACTTTCTGAGGCAGCAGGACCTCCTTTGCTCCACTGCTGTGCTACGCCAGGCCTGCTGGCTCACAGCTTCCCAGGGATTCTCCTGTTCCCCTTTCCTCCCATCTTATAATAGCTGTGCTGGGATTGCAAATCCCTGTTTTACACGGGTTTCAGGGATTAAATTCTACTTGTCAGGCTTGCTTGGCTAGCACTCACTCACTGAGTCATTTCCCTGCCCTATTCTCCACTTTTGTGTCAGGTTCTCATGGGGCTCAGGTTGGCCCTGAAACCACTATGTTGCCAAAGATAGCCTTGAACTGTTTGTTGTTGTTGTTTGAGACAGGGTTTCTTTGTGTGTAATTTTTACTGTCCTGGACCTCACTCTGTAGATCAGGCTGGCCTCAAACTCACAGAGATCCACCTGCCTCTGACTCCCAAGCACTGGGATTAAAGGTGTGTGTCATCACCGTGACCGGGCATGGTTTGCAGTTTCAAATTGTGGTCTGACCCAGTTTCTAACCATCTCAACTTCCAACCTTTACTATAGTATTCATCTCCTTCAAGGAATAGGTAGGACCCAAGGGAGGAGAGAGAATCACTTCATTTTTAGGGAGTAGAGAGAGAGCAACTTACTCAGAGGTTACCAGGTGCCCGGAGCCCTCTGGAGCCCTCTGGAACTCTGTGTGCTGGAAGCAGTTAGAAGACAGGGATGGGAGACGCTTCCACGTGCACTTGCGCATGTCCTCAGTGCTGCTCTTAATGTTTTACAGACCCAGAGAAGAGCTGCCAGCCAGTGCTGGAGACTCTGCGCCAGGCAATGGAAGGCACCATCTATGCCCACAACACCTTGGAATTACAGACTCTGCAGCCGACAGTCAACTTCCTTGCCACTGCTACAGTGCCAGGCTACTCTGAGCGCCCGCTCTGTCCACGCATCTTCCGACTCTTCACAGTGCTGGCTCTGGAAAGCATGACTCAGGACACCTTCTTGAGGAGGCATGTACCTGGCATCCAAGCCTGGCTTGAGCGCTTCCCCTCTATGGAGCGGGAGCACACTCTGGCAAGAGCCCTTGTCAGAGCTTCAGTGAAGGCGTGGGAGGCTGTGTGCGCCTGCTTCATGCCTTCCCCGCTCCGACCGCACTACCGCTTTTCCCTGCATTCCGTGAGCCACATTCTGGGAAGCCTGCAGCTGTTGCCTACCAGAATGGGGTCACGAGGTTTTACAGATTTTTTCCATCACCGGCATCATCTGCGCCGGGTATCCGGCTTGCGTGGAACTCGCCTGACTACCATGATGTCTGTGCGCGTCATGGTGCGTCTTTGGTTGCATGAGGCACAAAGAACATTTTGTGACCGGCTGGACAGTGATAGGGAACGTTCCCAATGTGCTAATCTGCTTCTAGAAGTAGCTCAGAGTGTCTTCTGTTGTAGGCCAGAGTCTCAGCCCTTGGTCAAGGACTGTGAGGAGGAGGTGGAGGAGGAGAAAGTGCCCGAAGTAGAATCTGAAGGGGAAATAGCCCAGTGGGAGGACTTAAGCAACAGTGACAGTGGATCAGAGAATGAAGAGGACCCGTATGGCCTCCAGGCCACCACAGGCTCACTCCTCAGTGAGAGCAGTCTAGCATCATTCCCCATAAGGTCAGTAAACAAGGAGAACACAGAAAGTGTCACCCATATGGGCGAGCAGAAGGAAGATAGAAGAGATTTTAGTGGTAAACTCCAGTCAGAGTCATCCAAGAGTGAGTGGAAGACAGCACCCCCGATGGAATCAGTTTTACCCTTGTTGCTACCAGTGCTATTGCTCTATCCCCAGGAGAAGCCCTCAGACCTGGTGTTCAGTCTGGAGCTTATACTGAGCTCTAACTTAGAGAGTTCCAACTTCTATTTGGAACGGCAGTGGGAAAGCCTGGAGAAGCAGTTGGCTGCCTCAGCTGTGCAGCTGAAGCTGAACCCCCACCTTGCCCAATGCCGCATGATGGTCCAGCACGTGGCTCGCCTGGTCCGAGTTCTGGCTAGGCCCCGGCAGCATGGTCTACTGTTCTCAGTGGCTTCAGGTACTGGGCGCCATACAGCCATCAGCATGGCTTCTAGCATCTGTCAGGCTCAACTCTTTCATTTGCCGACTGAGTCAGAGGAAGCTATTTTACAATGTCTCCAAGATGCCAGCTGGCATGCTGGCATGTTGAACGAGCCGGTGGCTCTTCTGGTGCCTAAGAGTGTAAATGTCACTACTTTTGAGCGGCTGATGGCCCTGGCGACCTTGGGCAGCTTCCCCAACCAGTACACCGCAGCAGGTCTGGATCACATCCAAGAGCGCCTCCCCAAGGACAGCCTTAGGGCCAAACATGTCAAGGATGCACTGCTGCATAGGTAAGACCTGGGGCCCTTCACACCAGCTCTTCTTTTACTCTTTGCTGGCCAGAAAGACGAGAAAAAGCTATAGGTTGGCATGAGGGCTAACGGGACAGGGTTGGAACACAGTCCTGGATGTGTAAATAGATCTGGAAGACGATGACAGATGAGTTTTCCCTGACTTACAGGTTCTACCAGCAAGTGTGTAGCAACCTCCACATGTTCTTTCTGATGGGAGATGACCGAGCTCAAAAGCACCTGCCCTCTACCCTTCTCCTGAGGCTCCTTCAATTGACCATTGCCAGTGTTGACCGCTATGAACCCTGGGATCAAGTTTCTCTGGTCAAGATTGCCCAGCAGCACCTGGAGAAGGTTGAGAGTCTACCTCTTGATGATGGTGAGCCACTTTTCACACGTTCCTACCACTCCTCCCAACCGTGAGAGCTTTTGTCCAGGGTGCACTCTCATCCTCTTGTCTGATAGCTCACTCTGGTTCTTACTTTCCTTGCTTTCTGGCTGATATTTTCTACTTTCCTTTCTGAACTGAGAGAGGAACTTTTTCCTTTCTCATCCCCATCCAATCCTATAAGGCCAGACCAAAACCACATCCATTGCAGGCTTCTTGAAGTGCCCAGATTTGAAGGCCTCAGTTCCTACTCTGGCTAGAGTCATGGCTCTTGTCCATCTTTCGTCTGCCTGTTACCATCAGCATGTATGCCCTGCATTGCCACTCACCACCCCCAAGACCTTCCTGGACTTCTTGGACATGTTCCTGCAGCAGCAGCAGCAGATGATTCTACAGATGAGGGTGAAGGCCCAGCGGTAAGTAGCCCCGTCCTTGCAGTTTGCTTCCTTCTGTTCTCCTGAGTCCGTTCACTGGCACATTGTGTTTCTAGCATCCACACTGCCCTGAAGACTCTGACACTACTGGTTGAGAGGAATAGCAACCAAACTAACCTGCTCAGTGACTTGGAAAAGCGGCTGAACGGCACCTTCAAAGTAAGAGGGGGAAGACTGACATTTACACAGTTGTGTTAAAGCAAGAGAACAAAAAGGACCAGGGAAGAATCAACCTATATGAAATTTGGTTCCTGGTTTTGTTTTTTTTTTTTTTTTAAGAGTCTTCTTTTCCCTGTAGAATCTCTCTAATCCTAGCTGTCTTTTCCATTAGAACCTAGGGCCCAATGCTTCCCATGAGATAGCTCAGACTAGATTGACTTTTGTAACAGAAATCTCAAGTGTCTGCCCCTGGATGCTTGTGATGTCTTGGCTCAGCATGGTATGTCCTGAGACCCCTGGATTTTTATCCTCTTCAGTGGAACTCATGACAGCCATCTGCTCCACCCCCCCACCCCATTTTGTATCTTTCTTCAAAAAAAAAAAAAAAAAGCATCAAATGTATAAGACTGTGGTGAACAAATGAGAAAATGTGAATGAGTAATGGAGACAGACTATACCAAAGAAACAAAATTGTACTTAAATATGTGCTAGACATTGATTTCCTGAATTTCTTTACTTGGCCTCTGCTCCTGGCTATTTCCCAGAACTATCTCCTTCCTTCCACTTGCAATACTTTCTCCACTTGCTCACCAGCCTCCTGTTTCCACTTGACTGTTACTTCAAATGCAGGTTCCTTCCTGGACTAAAACCCAATCTTTTTGCTTTGTTATGCAGAGCCAATCACTTTTGAATAAATAAACCTCTCCTATCTTGCTAAAACTAGAAGGGTGGGAGCTGCTATACCTTCTCTAGCTAAATAATCCATTTGAAGTATTTTCATAAACTAGTGAGTTTTGTTTTCAATATAATGGCTTTTGAAATAGTACTTTGTTTTAATTTCTGTTACATAGTCCTGAAAAAGCCTCAGGACTAACTATGGAGAAGTGAACTAGTATCCCATTCTTTTTTTTTTTTTAATTTTAATTTATTTTTATGTTCATCTGGTGTTTGTGAGAGAAAGTTAGATCTCCTAGAATTTGAGTTACACATCAGACAGTTAGGAGCTGCCATGTGGGTTCTAAGAATTGAACCCGGATCCTCTGTAAGAGCAACCAATGCTCTTAATCGCTGAGCCGTCTCTCCAGCCCCTAGTGTCCCGTTCTTGATTAGGTAACCTGTCCAACTTTCTAGTAGCTTTCAGGCCTTGCACCTCCTCACACCTCTTCATACCAAGGTGAGCAGGGCTAGCTCTTTGTGTTTCCATCATGTTCTATGTGAACGGTGACCCACGGAGCTCTCAAGATACTGGTGTCCTCTTCCTATCCTAGTCGTCCTATGATGATCAGGTCAGACCTCAAGACTCAGACAAGTTTCAAAATGGGGAGTGGGGATGGTAGAAAGTTCAAAGTAAACAGGAGTCTCCTTTCTCTTATATCCTAAATTCTAGTGTCTTGCCTTGGGTCCTACATTTTCTCAAAATAATTAATTCCAGGAATTATTGATCTGGTTTAGGAGTCCTCCTATTCCTTAATCCCTTATATCACTCCATAATACAGCAGTCTCGGGTCATTCCATTAGATCCCTTGGCCATTCACTCAATGGCCCTTATAATACATTCTTTCAGTGTTTCCCACCCCAAGAAATGGTACTACCATTCCCTTAATTACCGAAGCCAAACCCCCAGAATCATTCTCCACTTTCCTCCTTTCTCATATTCAATTAGTTCATGTGTTCATTGATATAACCGACAAAATTATTTGAACTTTATAACTTTTGCTCAGGATCTCAACACCTATGTTTGTATTTGTGTTTATATCTACATGTAAACTGATGGGTATATAAAAAGATAAATACATTAATTTGCACAGGAAGCAGCTTTCCCTTTCTGACTTACTGATGAGAAAACAGAGATCCAAAGAGGATAAGGGACTTGGCTAGGCAATATCAGGTATTCACATTTTGACAAAGAAAGTCTGGAGTCCTCTGAGATATACCAAGAATTTTTTTCCAGAGAGGAGGGGAGGGAACTAGAAAGAAGAGAAGGAGGTCTCAGTATATAGCACAGCATACACAGAATGAGATGGATGTTCAAAAACATTTTTATTTATTTTTTTACTGTAAATATCTTTTTTTTCTTCACAATTTTACTTTGTAACCTAGTTGTAGCCCCCTCCCTCATCTCTTCCCAGTCCTACCCTCACTCCCTCTTTCTCCCCATCCCTCTTCCCTAGTCCAGTGATAGGGGAAGTCCTCCTCCCCTACTGTCTGACCCTAGTCAGGTCCTATCAGGTCCCATCAGGACTGCCTAGATCCTCTTCCTCTGTGGGCTGGCTAGGTCGCCCCACCAGGGAGAAGTGATCAAGAAGCAGGTAACCAAGTTCATCGAGATCATGTGAGAAACTGTCCCTTCTCCCCTTACTAGGAACCCACATGGAACATACAGAGGACTTAGCCCCCTTGCTCATGTGTAACCCATATACATTCTTTTATTTTATTTTTTTTCATGTTAAGCACCCTGGTTTATTTGGAATAACTTGCATATATTTTGTTGTATCAGACTCTTTTTAAATACAATTTTTTATTTATTACCATTTATTTCACTTTGTATCTCTACTGTAGCCCCTCCCTCATCCCCTCCCAATCCCACCTTCCCTTCCTCCCTCATCTCCTTCCATGTCCCTTCCCCAGTCCACTGATAGGGGAGGACCTCCTCCCCTTCCATCTGACAATAGCCTATCAGGTCTTATCAGGATTGTCTTTCATAGCCTTCCTCTGTGGCTTGGTAAGGCTGCTCCCTCTCCTACCTCAGGGGGAGGTGATCAAAGAACCAGCCACTGAGCTCATGTCATTCTTTTAAAATGTAATACAATCTAGTGAAAAATGAAGTACACCAAAGTTGTTACCTCAGTTAAGATCTGGACAGGCATAAAGGGGGGTGGAAAGGAAGAGAATCTGTGTTTAAGTATAAGCTTGAGTCAAGAGACAGCGAAATCAGCCAGTTGTGGTGGTACATGCCTGTAATCTCAGCACTCAGGGAGGCAGAGGCAGGAAGATCTCTGTGAGTTAAAGGCTAGCCTCATCTACAAAGTGAGTCCAGGCAGCCAAGGCTATAGAGAGAAACCCTGTCCTGAAAAACAAGAGAGGGAAAGGGAGAAGGGGGGGGGGAAGAAAGCTTCCAGAGGGAGGGACTGTATTCTCTTGACAACTGCTGCTAAAGAGTCAGAAAGAGAAGAGATGTAGCAGAATAGTTATACAAGCGTTGGAGTTACTTGTATGGTAACATGACTGTAGGAAAAACAGTCCCTGCTTAGGGCTCTGCTACTAGATGTACAAGTCCCAGACCCAGAGAATAAGTTCTCTCTGTGGCCTACTGGGAGCTTGACTTGGTCATTCTATCATGCTCTTGCTGTCTCTGTGGGGTTGGTCTCAGAGCCCAGGGAGCTGCAAGATCTGGATCTCTGTTCACAGAACGTTGCTATGTATCAAACCCAGCTCAGACAAACCAGGATCGTCTATAAGCAGAAGATGGAAGAATGCCAACAGCAGGAGAGCCTCATTGAGAATCTGGTCAGGCAGCAAGATGCCCTACAGGCTCAACAGGAGGCTTTCCTGGAGCTGGTAGGTTCATCCTCCTACCTGTGCTGCTGGAGAGAGGACAACCACTCATAGGATACTCAGAGGACAAAATGGGGTGACTATTAGTCAGGGCTCCTGGCAGGGAGGCCAAGGTCATAGGGTGGCTTGGGAATGAACCCTCATGATGACCATTAAGAGAGATAAGTCCTCTTGGAAACATGCTGAAGAATGAGCAGAACACCACAGAATCTCTGCATCATGCATCTGTCCTCATTTAGATGAGCAAGGCGTTTCTAGGTCCTTTGAACCAGCTGCAGGTGGCGGACTTTGAGGAAATAAGGAGCTATCGAGCCCCACCAGAATCTGTAGTCCGGGTGACAGATGCACTGTGTGACCTGTTCCACCATGAGACAGGCTGGGCCAGTGCCAAGCAGCTGTTATGTACTGAAGATTTTTATCAGGTAGGAAGATGAGGCACACAAAGGGAGAGGGTGGCATAAGGAAAGAATTGGGCAGGATTAGCCTATTGAGTCAGGTGAAGAGTACCCATGTCTTCCCTTGTCCCCTTAACACATGTCCTTCCAGGAACTGGTATTCTTCCCCAAGGAGAAGCTGACGGCATCAGAGCTGATAAAGTTAAATGAAGCTCTGCAGGCCCCAGGTATGAGCGATGCGGCCTTGAGGTCAGTAAGCATCCCTGCAGCAAACCTGACAGTGTGGCTCTGGGCTGTTCTGCGCTACGGGCTGGCACATCATCGGGGCTTGCCCACTGGCCTGCTGCTGCGGCAGGTAGATGCAGCACTGGCTCGGGAGCAGGCCCGCCTGGGCCAGTTCCAGTTTCAGGCCCACGATCTGCTGCAGCAAACTTTGTCCCTGACTAAGAAGCTAGAAGATGCCCAAGCCTCTTATAGCCATGTCATGGAGTGCCTCAACCACGCACAAGGTGGAGAGTATAACAAATGGCCCATGAACTCTGCACTGCTCACACCCATGCACATGTGGACTAAGCAGCTCCAGGTAACAAGCCCCCTCCCAGATGTATCTCTCCAAGTGCATTTTACATCCTCACAATGTGTCTTGCTTCCTCTGTCCTTCCATACTCCCCTCCCCATACTGCCCTCTATGTATTGCCTCACTTTCCTCCGTAACCGTCTGTCTGTCCTTCCACATGACTCCCTAACCTCACTGAGTGTTCATGGTTTTGTTACTTCTTCGCAACAGAAGTTGAGGCAGCATTGCAAGACTGTGTTTGGAGATGCTCTCTTGTGCTCGGCTGCCGCTGTCTATCTGGGCCCCCTCCCACCACAGCGGCGCCAAGAACTGCTAGAAAAGTGGCTGTCTCTGTGTCAGGGCTTCGAGGAAGCCCTGGCCCCAGATGATGTGGCACAGGCGCGGAGGCAGAAGTCTGTTGGGGCACCACCAAACACCCCTCTGCTGCCCACACGTACTCCCTTCAAGATTTTTACCCTGCTGGGCAGTGGATCAGAGCAGCACCAATGGGACCGAGACAGAAGGCCCCAAGCGAAGTCAGCCCGCCTGGCAGGCCTGCTGCTGCTCAGCCACATCAACTACAACGGTTACCGCTGGCCTCTGCTGCTGGACCCCGGCAACCAGGCCCTCATCTGGCTGAGCCCACTACCTCCAAAACAGACGTGGCTGGCGCAACTTCCCAAAGAGAGCAAAGGTAGGCATGCACAGTGATATCCTTCTTGGGTGTCTGAGCTCCCCAACACTCAGCTTCCTATGTTCTGCCCTTTCATGGTGGAGATACACAGTTTTTGTGGCTAACACATATTGTATTTTACCAGCCTGAACTGTATTAATAAATTTCGACTCATTTACTGTTTTTGTGTGGTTGGTTTTAGCTCATGGTAAAATGACTCTAAATCTACACAGCTGGCCAAGCCATGATCTTCCACATCCCCAGTCTACTCGACACCATGGGAAATCTTGCTTACAGCTAAAGCTTACAATTTAGGGTAGTATTTATTACCCAAATTCATGCAACATTCAGAAATTCTTGAAAAATATTTTCATTGACTGTTTTTGAATCAGGGACCTATCTGAACAGAATGTTGGCAGGAACATTTCCTAGGAGAAGGAAGTGAAGGAATGTATTTATAAAGGAACGGATTGGGGAGTTGAATAGATGAGAGAGGAATTGTAGCCTTGTATGGACAAAGGGTTTTTATAATGAACTTCTAGGACCTTGAAATGAGATCATTCTGCTCCTTATATGAGTGAGCCCTAAGTCCCATGACAGTCATTTTTTAAGAGATATAGTAGAAGACACAAATACACAGTAGGGGAGATCATATGAGGGAGGCAGTTACAGAGCCACAGCTGAGGAGTATCTACAATTCCACTTAGCAGATGATGGGAGAGACAAAGACAGATTTCCCCTTTAGAGTCTTTGGGGGTGGGAGTATGGCTTTGCTAGCACCTTCATTTCAGACTTGTAGCTGCCACAACTCTGAGAGAATGAGTTTAAGCCACCACTGTGGGCTGTTACTATGGTCATGTATACATCATAGCTATAGGATGTCATGTCAAAGGCACAACTGGCAATTTATGTCTCCTCTGTCAGGAAAGCAAAAGATCTTTCAGAAATGTTGGGCAGAATTTTTGTCTCTGTGATTTTTGTTTCAAGTGCTGGGGATTGTACATGCTAGGAAAGCATTGTACCGCTGAGCTACATATGTAGCCCTTGATCTTTGCCTTCTGGTATTACTCCCATGATAATATTCCAGGATAGGAAAGCCTCAGATGTACACACAGTTACTAATCAATGTACCTTAAGGAGAGCTATTATTCTGAATTATCTTGGTGAGTTCAAGCTAATCAAATGATACCTTCAGAGAAGAAAGGAGGAAAGAAAACTCAGATTAGAAAGACAGGGAATAGTCAACAAACTGTTGCTGTCTTGAAGATGGATGGGACTGGCAGGTCAGCTATGGGAAGAAAATCAATACTGTGAAAACCCAGTAAAAGGCAGGCTCAGTGGTACACACCTGTACGCTCAGCTACTTAAGAGGCCCCAACATGAGGATGGATTGGGCCTGACAGCTTGAGGACAGTTTGGTAAACATAATGAGATCTTACCTTTAAAAAAAACAAAAAACAAACAAACAAAAACAACCAAACAAAAAATAATACACTAAACCTGCAGGAGGACCTACAACCCCAGATGAGACCTTCATCTAAGCCCAGTGTGCAGCTGAGCACAGACTCGCTAACCCTGCTATGCTGGACCACTAGCCTTCAATACTTAGGGATAATGTTGTATGTGGCAATTAATATTTACTATTGATATTACTTTAGTAAAGCTGTGGTTATTCCTAAAGAGCTGTGTAACCAAATCACCACACAGAGACTGGGATTTATTTAATTAACCTAGATTACAATGCTGGGCAATAGTTATTCCATCCTAAACCTCCAAGCCCACATAGTTTCCTACTATTCAGATTTTACCCATTATACTTGCTTTTAGTGATATCTTAGGACTGGTTCATTTCTCCATGTCGTTCCAGGACCTCTCCTCCAGCCTCTTTCTCCCAGCTTCTGCTCTTCCTCCTCCTCCTGCCTCCCACTCCCTCCTGTCCTCTGGCTCCTCCCCTCTCCTTCCTACTCCTTCCTCTCCATTGCTCAACATTGTGGCTGGTTGTTTTATTGTGTCATGTTTACACAAAGTTGAGACAGGTGATGCTTAGAATAAGTATCACAATGCAATGTCCAGATTGAAACCAGAGAGTGGGGCAGAGAAATCAGCATTTGAATGAACAAGGGTACAGTGTATACATTCCAAAAGAACATTATACCAACATTTCCCCCTTTTAAGTCCAATAAAAGGCTCCTTTTTTTTTCAATACAATAACAATTATGAAATTATGAAAACTGTTAGGTAAAATCTACATGTGCAATGTCCAGTCCATGTGTATTTAGCAACCTAGGAGAAAGTATCTGATTATTCTATCTATCTTGACAAGTTAAAAGTTCTATACCTAAATTAACTTTTATCTTTATTGGTATTACTGAAATGAAAGCATTTTTTAACTTCTAAACAAGTTAAGCTTAAATGTGGCACTACGACTATTTGGTCTTCAACCCCATCAGAGACTTGAGAAGGAATAAAATTAGTTACTAGAGTAAATAGGAAGTGCATGTTAGCAGCTTCCAAAAAATAAAAAATTGACAGAGACAGTTTGCCCATAACTCTTTACGTTATACTCAGACTATTTGACAGACATAAATGTGAAGCATGAACTATTTAGGACTTGCTTACCCTATCTTGGCAGAGTTTGGCAGTTGACTTGTCCTGCATTTAAGCTTGCCCATTTTTGGCATAATTTGTCTGTCATGAAGGAAGGGTATTTTCTTTACCCGAGTGGCTCGTTTGCCATATTTGAAGCCATCTCCATATGGAGGTTCTTTAATGCTCATCATCTTCTCTGAGGCAGGCGGGGTGCTGCCAGGAGATGACTTGTCTCATTATCAAAGAATCTTTAAAATAATAAGGACACTTCTAAATGCCATATTCTGTAGGTCTCTGATGTTTTTGAAGACTGCCTATCTTTATGTAATCGATCTGTCTACAAAATCATATCTATCTGTTAAACCTAGGATGCATACTCCTGTGATAAATTACGCTAGTGTTTGACATGACTATGAGTTGATTAACCAGCAATTAACTTGTATTACCTAATACCCTAATCCGTTTTTAACAGCAGTTTAAAAGTATTAGAAGTAACCTTGACTTTCTACTAATATACTAAAGCGATCAAAAATACTTATTTTTGCATCAATATGCAAAATACTATACCAGAATTCAAATTAATCTTATTTGAGAATAACAAATAAAAATGTAAGTTGAATAGATTCAATAATCTACCTTTCGTCTTATTCCTACAAGATATCCCTGTATTCCCCCTTCTTTGCTTTCAATCCCTTTTTTCCTTGTCTAAGAAAGAAAAATAGAGCAAAAAGAAAAGAGAGAAAACCCTGAATATAACCTTGTTTCACTCTGAATAAAACCATTAATAATTTATAAACATCTCCCAATGACAATAAACATTCATAGCCACAGAAAACAACCAAAAACCTATTCAACCCCCTTAAGGAAAACTGGACGTTGTTCTCATGGATTTCTTCTAGCTGACATTTTGGACATGCAGAAATCCTGTTAGTGGGCCCAAAGAAAATTGGGAAAAGTTGGTTAATTAAGCAAGCAGTAACATTTGTGTTCCAGTCTTTGAATGTTGAGAAATTTCAGGCTTAATAAAAGTCCTGTTTGGAACAGTCTAAAGTGCTGGACCAATTAAGATTAGTAGCTTTCTTCAAAGATCTCTTGGGAGCAGGCTTTGAGGAGAAACAGCAATTGAAACAGTTGAGGCAGGAACAAGCAAATGCTGGAACATGCAAGATGCTGGAACAGATATGTCAATGTCTCAGCAGGATAATAAATAGTGGCTTGAACTGCTAAATTTGTAGTAATTTGTTAGCAAGAGAAAAAAATGAATGTAACAAACTGTAGGCCTGGAAGCCTACATTTGGAAGAAAGTCTCGTTAAAACAAACAAACAAACAAACAAAACACAAGCATTTCTCTGTTCTTGCAGGAGAAAGGGTTGGGAATGGCTGCCCCTACTGCCTTGTGTGGTTTCCAGTACGCAGCCATGACTTGTCTAGTGCAATAGTTTACAGCCTTTCACTTACAAGTCTCTGCCTCAGGGACCAGCTCCTATATTAAGGAGGACAGCTTTTAGTTGTTACCGCCAGAAGAGCTTATGTAAAAAAAGGTGGGGTGGGTATTGAGGCAATCTATAGAATGGGGAGAAGTGGAGCCAATTTTGGAGAGAACTAGCCCTTCTTGGGGCCGGCTAGTCTAACTTTAAAGTAATAATGATGACCAGTGATTACTGTTCACCATGTGTTGGTCCAAATTGTGTATCATCACAGCAAATCTGTAGAGCAACCCTATAGGGCCATCAGTAATATCAACTCCCCTGTCAGATGTGAAAACTGAGTCAGAGCTTAAGCAGCTTTCCTAAATTGTCTTCCTCTAGATCTTGACTCATGAACCCTCCCCTTGAGTAATCAGGACTACCCAGAAACCCAGTTCCTCCTCTAAGAAACACTCTGTTGCATCTTTCCACCCCAGAAAAGAGCCTGGTGACAAATCAAGACAATGAGGATGAAAAGAAAGAAGAAGTGGAAGATGATGATGAAGATGGAAATAAGGTCAGGGACCAAACCAAAGAGCAGAAAACAGAGGAAAACAAGAGTGAGGAGGAGAAGGAGCAGGAGGCCCAAGAAACAGAGAAAGAGAATGGAACAGAGAACTCCAGCTCAAGCCAAACCTCTGGGACTCAGTCTCCACCCCTCTGCCTCTCTGTGCTCTCAGGTACAGACCAAGATTTGGGTCCACAGCTCCTGGAGGCAGCTGCCAATGGTGAGAGCCATAACCCCCATTTACTTTACTAATTCTGTAGCCCCACAATTCTCTCACACCCCAATTTGTTCTGATCCTGCATCCCACTGTGCTGAAGAATTTTGATAGAGCCCTGTTATCAGCCAAGAGAGAGCTGGTTGGAAACGAGTGTGTGCAGACTGGGTGGCATGGGTGCCGGCATTGTGGGTAGGTTGTTTTCACTTCCCCTCACAGGCCTGCCTGTGCTCTTGACCAATATGGAGCTGAGCCTCGGGTGCCAAGAACTTCAGTGGCTGCTGTCAAGGGAGAATCTGGGCCCACCCCGCGTGCAGCCTGGCTTCTGTCTCTATCTGAGCACTACCCTTCCCATCCGTGCTTTGGAACAAGGTGAGACCGGGCTGTAAGCTACTAGCATGGCTTCGTGGACATACTCAGCTCTCAGAATCATCCCTCTGGGAGATGGCAGGGGCCTTTCATTCAACGAGGCCCAGAGCAGGCTCAGAATTGCAATAAGAGAGCCGAATTCCTTGTCTACTCCTCCCTTGACTCTGACATGGGTGAACTGGCATTTTTCATGTGACCCAAGTACTAGGTTGTGATTTGCTGAAAAAGGTGAATGTTCTGGATCTGGGTCTAAACATGGAGATACTAGAAGAACAGATGCTGCATGAAATCCTGTGCAGAGAGCGCCCCGAGCTTGAAACCCGCTGGCAGGACCTCAAACTCAGTGCAGTGGATACCTCTAAAGCTGTGGAGGATGCTGAGGTGCTTGGGGGCCCAGTCTGTGGGGTGGGATAAACATTGGAAGGGTCCAAGTACAGAGTTGGAGCTGATGTTCGGGGATTACCACGAAGGTCCAGGTCCATCCAAAAAATTACTACATTCAGGAACAGTTGCTGATGATATTGCTACAATACAATGGAAGGTGTCCGAAATCATCCAAGCTTCTGAGACAAATGGTGAGGACTCAGGCAAAGCTATGCCAACTGAGAGCTGACTGGGAAGAGCTAGAAGAACAGAAGCTGGAGGAGGCGGCGGTGTGGGCACCCTACCGGCAGGTAGCTTGGCATGCAATGACTGTGGTGGAGGCTCTAAGCACACTGCAGAACCTGCTGCCATTTTTCTGTATGAATTCAGAGAACTGGTTGGCAGTGACAAGGCGGGCACTAGACAACATGAAGCCGCATGATAGTCATCATGGAGAGGACCTGGACAGCCATTTGCTGAAGGTGAAAGTATACCTGACCCGCCAGCTGCTGAGTAACGCTGTGGCTGTCCTAGGCTTGACCCATGCGCCCCTCGTGGGTGCCTTGGGTGCTCTGGCCCTGCTTCAAGTGACAAAGATGACACCAAAGCTAGAAAGATTGGCGCTGTGGCCTGGACTGTCAGCCTCTCCCAGCACAGGCCAAACCACTCAGGTCCCTGGTGTGGTTAAGCCAGCCTGGCTAGGTATAAGAGCCTGGCAAGAATGTGGAGTGTTGGAGGAGCTGTCTGCATTTGCTGGGCTTCGTGCATCCCTGGCAGGCCACTCCAGTGTGTGGCAAGATTACCTGTCCCTATCATCCACTGTGCTAGGGCCTGCACCTGGTCCTAATTCTGAGCCACTTAGCCTCTTCCAGAAGCTGATCCTGTGGCGTGTACTGAGACCAGATTGCCTGGCAAGTGCCCTAGCAGACCTCACCACCAGCCTACTAGGTCGGCCACTAGAAGAAGACCTAGGTGCCCCTACTTTGATCTTTGAACATAGTCGGGCTACTCAGCCCATACTGATCTTTCTGCCGCCACCTGGCCACCCTACAGCCACCCTGCATCCTGTGACTGTCATCCGGAAACTGGCTGCCAACCATGGAAAGGTGTGAATCTAGTCACTTGGCCCAGAGTAAGTGGGCTTCTGTGGGCTGGGATGGAGTATGGGGTCTCTGTCCCAGCATGCTCATGAGTCTTTTTTACATCATACGGTTACTTTACGATTATTGTGGCATAACTCTGAGTCTGTCAAATCACCCCAAGATCACCTTGCAATCACTCTATCACCTTTATATTGGTTCCTAGACACAGAAGAATCTGCATGTGATAGCACTGGGCTCTCAAGACTGGGACCCTGTGTCAGCTACAGTCAACACTCTATGCCAATCTATGCTCCAGGGGCACTGGTTGGTGCTGGATAACTGTCATTTGATGCCCCGTTGGCCAAAAGAGCTGCTACAGCCATTGCTGGGATTGTTCAATGGAGCCAAGGGTAAGCATACTGTAGGCATAAGATTATTGTGTAATTCAAATGCTGATTTCTGTACCTCCCCCAAAATATCTGGTTGCAATCTTTGTTCAGAGACTCTCCTGTCTCAATATTGTGTAAATACTACTCCTCAACTGACCCCTGATATGCCAATGAAGTAGCTTACAGCCAATCACTGAGCAGGGGAGAGGAGAGGGCTGGACTTCCTACCAGCCAGGGGAGGAACAGTTAGAAGAGGAAGTGGGGGAGGGAGAGATTCAGCTGGGCAGAGGTCCAGGAGACATCAGAAGAGAGGAGATGGAACAGCGAAGCTACAAAGTCCAAGTATCTCTGGGATATATGCTAGGAGGAAACCAGATTAGCTTAGAGAGCTAAGAATAGAGTAATAACTGCACTGTGAAACTTATTAAAAATAATATAATAGAGTCTCAATTATTTGGGTAATAGCTGGGTTAAGAAAGAAAGCGAGAAACAAACACAATATAAAAATAACTTTTAACAGTGTACTGCCTCAGTATGGCTTCAAGGATCCTACCCAATACTTGGTCCTGAGATTGAATTCTAAGGCTTCATGGCTGATTTCCAAGTTCTAAGCCTATCTCTTTGGCCTTGTGTCTGAATCCTGTTGTTCCAGTCCTGAATATGACCCCTGGACCTGTGGGTCAGTCCATTCATTACTGGAGGATTTATTTCAGCCCCTTATCTAACCTTAGACTCAGAACTGTTAGCAGAACCAGAAAGCAGGAATGTGGCCACTGTACACAATGATTTCCGTCTTTGGCTGATTGTGTCTACTGAGGCCAGTGCTTCCTTGCCAGGTGAGCAGCATCCCCTTACAAGCTATCTAGTCCAAGGGAGGGAAAGTAACTCCACTGTGCTGACTCCACACACTGCTGCTTCCACAGGGATGCTGACCCAGCACTCCATGCCTGTTTTCTGGGACCAGTCCTTAGAACTGGGCCGTATCTTGATTGACAGTGTGAATTCCCAGCAAGGACTCTGCGCACAACCCCTCACCCAGACAATGCCTTTGTTCTTCCTTCATGGCCTCCTACTACACAGACAGCTCTATGGGTTAAAGCTGCAAGCGCACAGGGGGCGCTGGTGAGTGATTCCCCAGTCCCATTCAGTCAAACAGCAAACACTGAGTATCTTCCACATGATCTTTGGAACCTCCAAAGACTGAAGGCAAGGAAGTCTTCTCCAAGGACTTTATCTGCAATCTCACTTTGAACTGAGCTTTAAAAGCAGACACAAATTGGGTAGAAACAGGGGTTTTGTTTTGTTTTTGTTTTGAGCAGAGGGAATGACTTTAGTGTGGGTGATATGCATATATATGCTGGTGATAGACTAGAAAAAGGTGAAGTTTATCAAAAGGGGCTTTTAGAACCGTGGCAAGAGGCCTGGGGTTATCCTGCAGGTATCAGGAAGTCACTGAGGGGGGTTTAAGTAGAAGAGAAAACTTGATTCTGCGTGTTGAAAACATCACCCAGGCTGTGAGGTGAAGAACAGGCAGAGGGCATGGGCCTGCAGAAAAGACCAGTTTTAGTGGAGGATATAAGGAGGAGATCATGGCATGAGTGATAGTTAGAGGTCAGGAATAAGTACAGTGTGAAGGATAAGGATGGTTCCTAGACTTCCTTTTAGACAACTGGGTGGCTGGTGATATCGCTCACTAGGCTAAGAGGTGGAGCAGGTCTTACAGGGCAAAGTGAAAACTGTAGTAGAGAGCAAGTTGTACTGGGGTGCAAAGTAGTAATGTCCTGCGAGCCCTCATGAGTCTGGAGTTCAGGAGACAAGCTTTCAATGAAGAAAAGATGTGAGAGTCCTCAGTCTGTTGCTATTAATACTCTCTGTACCCTTACTCAGGAGTCAGGTGACCTTGACCAAGGCTCTTCAGACCCAAGAGCAGCTGTGGACCAGTCTCAGCAACCCCAGTGCTGCCTTGCTGGAGCTGGCTGGTGAGGTCCTCCTCCTGTCCCCCAGAAGACCTGGAAAAGGGTTGGTTGGGAGTCTGAAGGCCAGGACACATGTGATGAATAAACACACAGCTTTGATTGGAGGGGTGATGGAAAACCAGAAGGGCTGAAGCTGAGGGCCCCTGACTTCATCTGCAGTTGAAGTTTTCTATGGAGGTTCTTTGAGGGACTTGGAGGACAGAGAGGCCCTGGCTAGCCTGACACGAGCCTGCCTGGATCCCAGGAGCACGAACAGGGTCCAGCCACACACACCTCAGCATCTGCTGGCCACTCTGATGCCCAGCCCAGGTAAGCTTCAGGCAGCTGTCCATACTGGGGTAGGGAATAATAGTGCATTGCACTGCTGTCCCCCACAGGAATGTGGTGCATAATATCTACACCAATAAAGGAATGAGAAGGCAATGTTGATAGTTATGGGGTTAGAGGAAGGCCTCCTTCCTAGGGTCTGGTGGGGAGAATATATTTTGTTCCTCACCTCCTCACCTCCAATCCTAAGAGTTAGGGAAGCTGGATGCCATGACGGAGTTCAATGCCCGGATGTACCTACTGCCCACACCAGCTGAACCTCGCAGCTGTGGGCTAAATGAAGGGCCCAAGGCCTGGCTGTTGAGACGCCAAAGTCGTGCTCTCCTGAATATGCTGCAGCAGTGTTCACCTGTGTGGGTTCCTTCAGTGTACGGAGGACTCACCCACTACAAAGAAAGGCGACTTCGACATCGCCTGGTGCAAGCCAAGAAGAGGCTGGTGGCACTTCAGGCTTTGCTAACCAACTACTGTTGCTCAAGCCAGTGTGCCACCCCCTGGGCGGTGCTTGGGCCCAGTGCCCGGCAACCTCTGGAGGGCTTCTTGGAGACCGAGGTGCTGGAACTGAGACAGCTGGTGGTCATACTGCAGCGTGACCTTGACTGCCTACTGCAGCAGCTGAAGGGTGAGACCCCGTGCACTTCCAGCCGCTGTGCCGCGGTGGCCCAAGCTCTTTGGGCTGGTCGCCTACCTCGGCCTTGGAGATCTCATGCACCTGCTGGTCCACAGCTGCCTTGGCAATGGCTACGACAACTGTCCCGCCGTGGGCAACTGTTGGTTCGCTACCTAGAGAGCGATATGAGCGAAAATGCCAACAAACCAGAGCGCATATTTCATCTGTCAGCTTTCCGACACCCCCGTCGCCTGCTGCTAGCGCTGCGTTGGGAGGCTTTCCTGCATAACCTAGGCTCTAAATCCGGCAGTTCGCACCCTAGACATCAGGAGCTGAACAACCACCCTCTGCATATCCGGGTATCTTGATGTCACTCTTTCTGCTCCCAGTTCCTGATCCTTAACAGAATCTGATTACATCCCATCCTGTCTGTCCCTGACTGACTCTTACCTTCCCAGCTTTGCTTAACTGTTTTCTGTTGCCGCCCCCCCCCCCCAGGTGGAGAACAGCCCAAATCCCAAGGTTCCAGAAATGGGACTGCTGCTGATTGGGTTACAACTCCAGCACGCAGAGTGGGACCAGATAGCTGGGGCCTTGCAGGATAGTTTTTCCAGCCAACCCAGCCCTCTGCCTCCTGTCAGCATCAGCATACAATCTTGGAGCACCAAGGAAGCACCAGTCTCAGGTGGCCTGAGTGTGTATTCCTGTCCTGTATATATGACCGGGCCCCTTGGCACCACCAAGCTGCACAGCAAGAACATCCTGATGTACCTGCCACTACCCACAAAACTCAGCCCCGACACCTGTATCCAACGGAGAGTCCATGCGTGCAGCCCAGCCTTATCCTGAGCCCAAAATAAAGCTGTAGTGATGCCAGTAATCACTTTTGGGACATGGGAGAAGATTGGAGTGTGTAGAGAGTGAATGTGACACAACGAGGTTAAAGAATGCTACTGATAGAGAAGGGGCACATGTACAGAACAAGTGGGGCAAAGGCTGTGGGTACATGGGCCTGCTGTCGTGTTTACCAGGGGATCGGCAGATCTTCAATGGCTAACACAGAATTTTGGGTCCTTGCACAGCTCTCTACTATGGTCTCAGCAGTTGCGCTAAACATATCCAGTGGGTGTTTTCTGAATGTAGAACCCTAAAGTTGAAAGTGGCTTGAAGGCATTTAGTAGCATTATTGGAACGCCCCAGTTCTGCCTTACCACACTCTCTGGTTGAGTCATATACCAAAAGCAAAGGCCAAATGGGACTCAGGGCCCTCACTCTTCAACAATAACCAGCTGAGCAGGCACTCCTCCACATAAAGTGTTCTTTTACTGGTAATGTTGCTCAGCACCAAACTGTTGCTTTCCTTGGAAACCTATTTCTTGTCCCAAGGAAGTTCCAGGGACAGGTTCTACCCTTCAAAAGCATGCTCTGCAGTTGAATGCTTGCTTCCTCTAAGCAGACCACACCTTTTAATAACCAATTCGTCCATTGGTTGCTATTAGCACCTTCATTAGTCACTCACCCTCTAATGGCGCCACCATGAGGGGACTAAGCCTTCTATGCATGCATCCACTTAGGGAATACATCATACCCAAAGTTCACCAAAGGGTCATATCTCTCTTACCTTGGAAAAAGCACCTGCCGCCCCACGCACGCTCTTTCTCTGAGACACAGTCTTGCTGTGTTGCAAGCTGACCTTAAACACCTGCCTCCGTTCTCCAAATGCTATACCTAGAGGCACAAATCACCATATCCAGCTTAAATGCATTGCCCAAAGTGTCCTCAGATATGAACGCTTAGCTATAAACCCCCATAAAACTCAGGAAATATTTCAAACTATGAAACTCCCATTCTAAGAGGGTGGAATAAACACACACCAAAGAAGGGCTGGACTTGAGCAAGACTAAAGCTCAGCAGGACAAACATTAAGTCCTGTAGCCATGGTCAGAAACACCCTAGGTATGTGTGATGCGATATGAGCTCAAGGACATGGGACCATCTCCACCACTGATGCTTTGCCATCTAACAGCCCATATGGCTTCTCTCTAGGGCATGCTCCACTCACTGTCCCAGGCTTTGCTTGGCAGATATTCCATGTCCATGGCGCCTCTAACTTTCTGGAGTCTCCTCTGCAGCTCTACTCACACTCTCACCTTCACACATTGTCAGAGACTTCCTGTGGGGAATCTGGCCTTCCAGATTTTGAAACACAGAAAGCCTGTAACTCTACAACTCCTACATTCTATATGCTGGAAACCCCAGCATCACATAGGCAGTGCTGCTGTCTGCCATCAGCTCAACACTTTCCTAAGTGGCCCTAAGAGAACAGCTCTCAAAGCAAAGTCTTTTGAATGAATTTAAAACCTTTATACCCTTGTGCCTACCGTGGGTGGCAGCTGGCCAGTTGCTGAGATGCCCTCAGGTACTTTTCTATTGTTCTGATGCCAAGCTCTGATCATTGTTTTGGGGTTTGTTTTAAAGACTTATTTTATGTACATGAGTGTATGTATGTGCACTATGGGCATGCCTAGACCTGTGAAGGTCAGAGGGTATTAGAGACTTTGAAACCATGTTACGGAAAGTTGTGAGCTGCGATGTGGATTCTGGGAACCAAATCCAGGTCCTCTGCAAGAACATCATGTGCTGTTAACCACCGAGTTGCTGCTTTAGCCTGTCTTTGAGATAGGGTTTCATACTGACGGTCTGAACTTGAACTTGCCCTGTACCTGAAGTTGATCTTGAATTCTTTACCCTCCTGACTCTATCTACCAAGTATTGGCTGGCATTGGTGGAGGTGAACAACTACACAGTCTACTCTTTCTAATGGCCCTAGTCTCTTCAACAGTCACATTTCTCTTGGCTTCAACTTTCAATTTTTTTTTTCCAAATTTCAACACTTTGCTTTTAGTAACAATTCTATAAATTTAAGTAAAAGCAGCTACTAATAAGCAACCACGCCATGCCTGGATGCCAGGCTGCCTTGAAACGTCCTCTGCTGTATTAACTAGTCTGCACCTTTAAATTCAGCCTCATGCAAAGACTCGGGATACAAGTTCTTTGCTAGGATTAAAAATGAATGGCATGTAGTGGTTCAGTTCCCCAAGAGAGATGTTATTCTCATCTTTGTTGTCTGCACTCCTAACCAGCATTCTTGCCTTCTGAGTTCTCACCCATTAAGCGTTTCTAACATTCTGACACCTCTCTAGTTTATAACTCTGCACTTTTCCAAATTCTGTTCCCAAACCAATCCCAAAGAATCACAAAGTCAGGTTTAATCACAGTAAAACCTGACTTCTCCTGGATAAATTTATGGTTAGACTTTCCATCAATGTGACAAATATCTGAAAGAAACAACTCAAGGAAGGTGCCGTCTTGGTTCATGATTGCAGGAGTTAGTTCACAGTGACTCCATTGCCGTCCACCTGGGGATAGGCTGAGCACCAAGGCAGTGAGCATGAACTGGAGTAAAGTCAAGTCATAATGGTCAGGAAGCAGAGGACAAAGGAAGCAGCTGGAGGCAAGATACACTTTTCAAGGTTAAATCATCAGTGACCTGCTTCCTGCAGTTATGGCCTAAATTTGAAAGTTCCTACCGTTTCTCAAAATAACACCCAACTGCTTGAGACCAGACCTTCAACATACTCAAACTCAAACCACAGTATGTGTGTGCATATATATATAAAATATAAAGTGAACTATTCGTAAAAGAAATTTTTAAAATTCCTTTTGGAGCTAGAAATGCGACTCATTTGGTTGGTAGTTTTTGCCTACATGCACAAAGCCCTGGGTTTGATCTTAAGCACTCATTAATTTGGAAATAGCATCTAAAATTTTGAGATTATACTTTTATGCATATAATTATACTATTGGTTATTTATATTCCTGGTAAGAATACATACAAAGAAGAAACATTAAAATAAATTTTCACAAATGTCACTATGTATAGGAATGACAAGTCAGAAATATATTGGGATAATTGCTAAACGGCACCAATGCCGTATCTCTTCTTTGTGGGTATGACTGGAGGCTTTTTGAGTTTTGTTTGTTTTTAATCTATGATGCTATATCTCACACTGATAGTTGTTTTGGTCAATTACAAAGGAGCAGAAATGAGTCCTGCTTTGGTAATGAGATGATTTTGCCTTTGCTCCCTTTTCTTGTCTCAGGGACTACAACAGCATATGTTGAGATAGTGTTTCCATTAGCTGTGTCCCTGAGTGTGAGCAGAGTACCTCTCAATCTACATTAATAGGAAAAAAAAAAATCACCGAAGTGACATGGCTCAGCAGGTAAAGGCATCTGTCTCTAAGACTGACAACCTGGTCTGGATCCCTGGAAACCACAACATAAGCAGATTACCGCCGAATGTTCTCCATATTCCATACACACATACTATGGCACACACATTAACACTTTCCCTCCATAAAATAAATAAATATGTAAAAAAAAAAATTGGGGGGAGGAAAGGTTGAAACAGGGTTTCTCTGCGTAGCCTTGGCTGTCCTGGACTTGCTCTGTAGACCAGGCTGGCCTCGAACTGAGATCCACCTGCCTCCTAGAGTACTGGGATTGTAGACGTATGCCACCACTCCCAGCTTAAAAAAAAAAAAAAAAAATCTTAAAATTATATCAGCTTTAATCATCAATGGTTTGGGCTTTAAAATAATATTTTATTTACATTTGTGTTTTGCCACACATGTATGTCTGAGTGTCAGATCCCCTGGAATTGAAGTTACAGACAGTTGTGAACTGCCATGTGGATGCTGGGATTTGAACCCAGGTCCTTTGGAGGAGTTGCCAGTGCCCTTAACCACTGAGCCATCTCTCCAGCCCCCAATATTTAAGGAGCTTGCTTACTGGTGCCTCAAAAAATAGCAATGTACCTCTTACTCAAGTGAAGCCTAATGCAGACATTCCTATTCATAGTGACTATCTAGTTTTGGTGATGCCCAGGGACAAAAAAACATCAAGTTGGTATCATTGTAACTTTTATTCCCCTGATTCGTCATCTTGGAGGCTTACTGCTAACCTAGACCTAATCCTGAAAGTTTCTAGCCTAGGCCTAGAATGTTTTCAGCCCCCAACTGTCTCTACAAAAATGCCCCCTTGAATTTGTCTTTAGGATTTTATGTATTTATTTTCTTTATGAGTACCCTATCTGCATGTATGCCTGTATGCCAGAGGAGGGCATCAGATCTCATATATAGGTGGTTGTGATCCACCATGTGGTTGCTGGGAATTGAATTCAGGACCTCTGGAAGAACAGACAGTGCTCTTACCAGCTGAGCCATCTCTCCAGCTCGCCTTCTTGAATTTTAATTCAAAACATAGCTGTTCTGGCAAGAGATCACATCCAATGACCTTCTAGGTCTAGACTGAATACAGACATACCTTTAATCCCAGGAGACAGAGGCAAGATCTCTGAGTTCAAGGCCAGCCTGGTACAAAGCAAGTTCCAAGTAGAGAAAAGCTTAGGTCTAAGCATAGTGGTACATGCCTTAAATCCCAGCATGCAGGAGATAGAGGATGCAGATCTCTTAAATTCTAGTCAGTTCTGTTCAGTCAGTTTGGTTAAGTCAGTGAGTTGAGAGGCTGGGCGGTGGAGTTGAGTTTGTGGCAGTTCAATTAGTGGAACATGCTAGATAGATTGGGTGAAGACAGAACAAACCAAAGAAGATTAGAATAGACTGCTAGAGTTAGTCTGATGCCAAGCAGAGCAATTCAGTCAGAGGCAGAGAGAGAAGCCAGATTCAATCAGTCAGCTAGGAGAAAAGTTTGACCCAGAATAGCTGAGTTGAACCAGCTAGCAAGAGTTCAGAAGGAACTAGAAAGGGTGAGCTTATTCAGCAGTACGTCTCAGAAGCTGAAAAATTCTAGGCCTAGATTGGATTGTACAGAGGCTAGGCACTTCCAGGACTAGAATTAGGTTAGCAGCCAGAGGCAATAAGCCTTTGAGATGACAACTACATTAGGCAAATAAAAGTTACTTTAATAGTTAGGCAATGTGGAAATAACATGAGGGAACTGTCTCTTAAAAGATCTAAGTCTGGAAGCAGCAATTTCAATATTAACTAATTGTCTCAACTCCATTACCTGTTGATACGCAACTCTATGGGAAGCTGGGGAATATACAATACAATTGACTTCCCAGGAAG